GAGTGGGTAAATCCTCTGGAGGAGGGGGATCCTCTGGAGGAGGAGGGGTAAATCCTCTGGAGGAGGATCCTCTGGAGGAGGAGTGGGAATCCTCTGGAGGGGGGGGGATCCTCTGGAGGAGGAGTGGGGTAAATCCTCTGGAGGGGGATCCTCTGGAGGAGGGGAGTGTGAGGAGGGGATCCTCTGGAGGAGGAGTGGGGATCCTCTGGAGGAGGGTGGTGAAAATCCTCTTGAGGAGGGGTAAATCCTCTGGAGGAGGAGGGTGGGTGAATCCTCTTGAGGAGGGGTAAATCCTCTGGAGGAGGAGGGGTGTTAGGGGGTTATAATAATAATGTGTTTATAGTAGCTGGAATGTTTCATCATAGGAAGGAGGAGTAATGGTGGGTCTATCTGTAGGGATCAGAGGGAATATGATATGAAATAGGTCAGTATGGACACCTCTGGGATGATGTAGTGCAGTAATGGTAGGTACAGTTGTGGTGAAATGTCTGCCCCCCCTTGGAGAATCGGGAATATACAGGATGGATGATGAGTGAGCCGGCACAACCCATTTCTTATGGGATTCCTATTCTGTGATAACAGAATGGGCCAATCATAAAACAGAACATGGCGACAAGTAAACCAATGACACGCCCCCTGTTCAATAGTCTGCACCCCAAGTTCCGAATCCCGTGTATCGCCCCCTTTACCATCAATGACAGCGTGCCGTCTTCTGTATTAGTTGTCTATGAGGCCCCCCAATTCTTGCCGGTGGTAGAGCCGCCCATTCATCTTGGCACAATGCCTCCAGGCCATGCAAAGTCTTATATGAACCGCACCCAGAGATCTCCCAGAGCTGCTCAATGATAGGAAGGTCAGGAGACTGTGATGGCCACTCCAGAACCTTCACCTTTTCCTGCTGTAACCACTGGAGGGTCAGCTTGGCCTTGTGCTCGGGGTCAATGTCCTGCTGGAACCCCTGGAGGGTCAGCTTGGCCTTGTGCTCGGGGTCAATGTCCTGCTGGAACCCCTGGAGGGTCAGCTTGGCCTTGTGCTCGGGGTCAGTGTCCTGCTGGAAAGTCCAAGAACGTCCTACACACAGCTTTCGTGCCGAAGAATGTAAATTGTCTGCCCGTATTTCCTGATAACATGCTGTATTTATCTTGCCCTCAACTTTCCCATGACTCCCCCGTGCCATTAGAGCTCACACACCCTGAAAACATCAGTGAGCCACCACCATGCTTCACAGTGGAGAAGGCTATAGGCCTTGTTGACCCCTCAGCAAACATAACGCTTATGGTTGTGATCATGAGCCCGGTTCACACCCAACGCCCACATCATAAGCCCCGGTTCACACCCAACGCCCGCATCATGAGCCCCGGTTCACACAAACTGCCTGCATCATAAGCCCCGGTTCACACCGAACGCCCGCTCATAAGCCCCGGTTCACACCCAACGGCCGCATCATGAGCCCCGGTTCACACTAACTGCCCGCATCATGAGCCCCGGTTCACACCGAAATGGCCGCATCATGAGCCCCGGTTCACACTAACTGCCCGCATCATGAGCCCCGGTTCACACTAACTGCCCGCATCATGAGCCCCGGTTCACACTAACTGCCTGCATCATGAGCCCCGGTTCACACCCAATGCCGCATCATGAGCCCCGGTTCACACTAACTGCCCGCATCATGAGCCCCGGTTCACACTAACTGCCTGCATCATGAGCCCCGGTTCACACTAACTGCCTGCATCATGAGCCCCGGTTCACACTAACTGCCTGCATCATGAGCCCCGGTTCACACTAACTGCCCGCATCATGAGCCCCGGTTCACACTAACTGCCCGCATCATGAGCCCCGGTTCACACCGAATGTGGCTTTGAAATCACTCTACTTCAGCTGAAGCAGCACAATTTCAAAGCCGCCAGTCAGCACAAGTGCCAACATCTCTGCGACTTCATGCACAGATGTCAATGCAAGCCGCACATGAAATCACCAAAAATAGTGCAGGAACAAAATTGGTGCAAGGCAGAGTTGCACAGAATTGAACAGTTCCATAGGAACACAGAGTGCGACTTGTGCGATTGTGAACTGTCAAAGTGTATGACAAATCACATTGGTGTGGTCGGGGCTAAAGCTCTGTTTTGGCCTCATCACTTCAGATTACAGTGTGCCAGAAGCTGTGAGGCGTGTCCAGGTGTTGTCGGCCATATTGTAACCAGGCTTGTGGCATTGACACAGTAAAGGCTTATTTCAGGCAACTTAACCATGCAGCTCATTTTTGTTCAAGTATCGTCATAATGTGCTCCTTCAAAACAACCACACCGGCCTTATCCAGAGCAGCCTGGATTCCTCCTGAGGTCCCCTTTGGAGTTTCTTTGTATCTCAAACAATTCTTCTGCCAGATGTGACCAATCTTTCTTGGACGTCCTGACCTTGGCTTGGTATCAGGAGATACCTGAATTTTCCACATCTTAGCAAGTGATTGAACGGAACTGACTCACAGATTCAAGGCTTTGGATATCTTTTTCCACTTTTATGAAGCTCCTTTACCTTGTTATGCAGGTCTTTTGACAGTTCTTTTTCCGATCCCCATGGCTCAGTGCATCCACGTGAGAGCTAACAAACACATTGACTATTTATACACCGACACTGATTGCAATGTAAAAAGCCACAGATGTGGGAAATGACCCTTTAATTGCCATGGTAACCTGCATGTGTCACCTTGTGTGTGTCAAGGCCGAACATTCCAGGGGGCGGAGACTTCTGATCCATTTGGAGGATTTCTGTTCTGTAGCCAATCAGCTATGTGATAATAAACGGCTTCATGTCATCAGTGTCACTATTATCATTGATAAGATCAGTCAGATTTGCATATCAATGCCAGAATGGCACCATTTCTGCCAGGGGAGGGAGACTTCTGAGTACAACTGTATATCTATAGAGATCAGAGGAATACGACTGATATGATATCCCAGAAATGTCAGGTTGGTATGGACAGCTTGGGGTGATTTCGAGCCCATTCACGCTTGTGCGACTTGTCATGTGACTTTGGGGTCCGAGCCCCTTTGAAAGTCTCTGTAGACCTAGACCCCATGCTCCGGGCTTAATGTCTCGTTTACTCCACTATTATTTCATGGTGGTAAGAACGCCCCCGGTTCGTTCTTACCACCAGCATTGGCAGTTGGGACTCGGGGGAAGTCTGGTGGATCATGAGCCAGGCATTGTCTAAATGTTCCAGGAATGTTCTACTAGACAATGCCTACAAGGTCCTCTATAGATGGTATTACACGCCTGACCGTCTGGCCCGTTTTATCCCCACATACGCCCCGACTTGCTTTTGGGGTTGTCAATAAATAGGCACCATGGCCCATATTTGGTGGACCTGCCCCAAGGTGTACAGACTATGGATTAGGGTTTACACCGTTCTCCGCACTATGCTTCACACAAACAGCAAGCGCAACCCATACATGGCCCTATTATTCAAACCATGAATGGGCCTACTTCGTCCTGAGCGGCAGTTGGCATCACATCTATTCATGGCTACCAAACTAACAATCGCGAGAGCTTGGAAGACCCCCCCCTCAGCTTCCTCGGGAGTCCTGGGTGTGGAGTACCAATGTGTATTCAGTGAGGCTCCGTGTTTTATTTCTCCTGTCCTCTCTGTGAATTTTGTGATCATTCTGGCTCTTTGTTTATGAAATCATTGGTCTCCATTGCCTGCCGGCCATTTAATTGATTCTGTTTTATTGTATCTCTTCCTATACTGCGATTGTGTACTCCGCTCATTCCCGTCACTGCATTTATGGTACTAATCCTCAGAAAACGTGGATGTCTCATTGGTCAGCGATCTTGTTTATGAAATCATTGGTCTCCATTGCCTGCCGGCCATTTGATTGATTCTGTTTTATTGTATCTCTTCCTATACTGCGATGTGTACTCCGCTCATTCCCGTCACTGCATTTATGGTACTAATCCTCAGAAAACGTGGATGTCTCATTGGTCAGCGATCTTGTTTATGACGGCTTCTCTGATGTTGTCTCTTCTAGAATACAATCCATTGTACAAGAAAGGATTGTGGACCGGCACCAATCCCCCTCCACACTGGGGGTGCAGCTGTGGAGGTGGTCTCGTGGTGTAGATGTTTGGGGGTGCACATCTCTGAGCACCAGTACAGGAGATAGAAGAGTGTCGGGTGTTGTGGTCCTCATGTGGGTGTGCTGGGTGGTGGAGGGCACCCGTACTTCTTCCATCACTGTGTGGTGATTGGTCTACAGGTAGGACACTATCCCTCTGTATTAGTCTGGACTCCTCCCATCCTTCCTATGGATTGCTTGTCCTCCTTGTTTCAGGTTGGAGGTTCCACAGCATCAGGACCACAACCACCAGGCTGGGGGATCCTAAAAATGGGGTCAGCAACCTCCGTGTTCCAGCCGTGGTGAAACTACATGTTTTGTGGGACTTGTAGTTCTACAACCTCCGAAGTGTGGAGAAGTCCTAGACGGACCAGTACTGTCAGACACTCTGCCCTTCATATGTACAATATGAAGTGTATAGGTCTGCCCACTATATCGCCTGCAGAGGCGGTCACCAGTCCAATGTTCAGCGGTATACAGTGACCACACACAGGATAGGAAGTGTCCGGGCACCTCTGTGATCTCCATTGTTGTCAGCTACTTCCCATGTGTTGGGGGGGGGGGGGGGGGGGGGAGTCTGATGGTTTGTATGTGACGTGGTAGGAGATGGAATCTCCCATTGTGTGTGTCACTATGCAGGCCATTGCATTGCAGCTATGTGTGAACAGGGGGAGGGATTTTTTCCAACTGAAACTCCCCTCCCCCACTCCCCTCCCCAGTGACATCAGGCATGATGGACAGGCGGACGGTTGCCTGGTAACGAAGACGGGGGCGGTCTGAGATAAAGCCGTGTCCTCACACACAGTCGGTGCATTCAGTGTGGTGTTGCCGTAGGATTGCAGACGCCTGTGTAGGAGTAGGAGGGCGCAGTGCTGTATTGGGTGAATGTCGGCCCTGGTGACCCACCGACCACCATATGACACCCCCGACCACCTCCGCTCCAAGGTAACGGGGAGGGAGGGGGAGGGGGGAGTCTGCGGGACTGCACTACCCCCATCAGCAACACCCCAAAACTCCCTATTCCCACCACCAGTGTCAAACACAACGCTGTCTACTATCACCCCAATACACCCTCTGGGATCACCCCAATATACCCTACACTATCACCCCAATATACCCCAGATCACCCAATATACCCTACACTATCACCCCCATACACCCTCTGGGATCACCCCAATATACCCTACACTATCACCCCAATACACCCTACACGGTCTACCATCACCCCAATACACCCTACACTATCACCCCCATACACCCTCTGAGATCACCCCAATATACCCTACACTATCACCCCAATATACCCTACACTATCACCCCCATACACCCTCTGGGATCACCCCAATATACCCTACACTATCACCGCAATACACCCTACACTGTCTACCATCACCCCAATACACCCTACACTATCACCCCCATACACCCTCTGAGATCACCCCAATACACCCCACACCCTCTGAAATCATCCCAATACACCCTACACTGTCTATCACCCTAATACACCCTACACCCTCTGATATCACCCCAATACTCCCTACACCCTCGGAGATCACCCCAATACACCCTACACTGTATTATCACCCCAATACACCCTCTGAGATCACCCCAATACACCCTCTGAGATCACCCCAATACACCCTACACTGTCTATCACCCTAATACACCCTACACCCTCTGAGATCACCCCAATACTCCCTACACCCTCTGAGATCACCCCAATACACCCTACACTGTATTATCACCCCAATACATCCTACACCCTCTGAGATCACCCCAATACACCCTCTGAGATCACCCCAATACATCCTCTGAGATCACCCCAATACACCCTACACTGTCTATTATCCCCCCAACAGACTCCACAATGCCTATTCCCTATGCTGTCTGTGACTGCCCCAAATGTTTCCATTGTTGTCTGACAACATAATACATTCTACATTGTAATCACCCCAACAATGGCTTCACAGCGATCTCCCCACTACACCCTACCATGTCTGCTACATACCACCACACGTTTACATTCAGCCTGACCCGTGTTTCAACGGTTACAGACAGCCAGAGCCGTGTTAAGACCTTTACATTCAGACAGTCAGAGCCGTGTTACGACCTTTACAAATCGGACAGTCAGAGCCATGTTGCGACGTTTACAATCGGACAGAGCCATGTTACGACCTTTACAAATCGGACAGCCAGCCGTGTTGCGACGTTTACAATCGGACAGTCAGAGCCATGTGTTGCGACGTTTACAATCGGACAGAGCCGTGTTGCGACGTTTACAATCGGACAGTCAGAGCCGTGTTGCGACGTTTACAATCGGACAGTCGGAGCCGTGTTGCGACGTTTACAATCGGACAGTCAGAGCCGTGTTGCGACGTTTACAATCGGACAGTCGGAGCCGTGTTACGACGTTTACAATCGGACAGTCGGAGCCGTGTTGTGACGTTTACAATCGGACAGTCGGAGCCGTGTTGCGACGTTTACAATCGGACAGTCAGAGACGTGTTGCGACGTTTACAATCGGACAGAGCCGTGTTGTGACGTTTACAATCGGACAGTCGGAGCCGTGTTGTGACGTTTACAATCGGACAGTCGGAGCCGTGTTGTGACGTTTACAATCGGACAGTCGGAGCCGTGTTGTGACGTTTACAATCGGACAGTCGGAGCCGTGTTGTGACGTTTACAATCGGACAGTCGGAGCCGTGTTGTGACGTTTACAATCGGACAGTCAGAGCCGTGTTGTGACGTTTACAATCGGACAGTCAGAGACGTGTTGTGACGTTTACAATCGGACAGTCAGAGCCGTGTTGTGACGTTTACAATCGGACAGTCAGAGACGTGTTGTGACGTTTACAATCGGACAGTCGGAGCCGTGTTGTGACGTTTACAATCGGACAGTCAGAGCCGTGTTGTGACGTTTACAATCGGACAGTCGGAGCCGTGTTGTGACGTTTACAATCGGACAGTCGGAGCCGTGTTGTGACATTTACAATCGGACAGTCGGAGCCGTGTTGTGACGTTTACAATCGGACAGTCGGAGCCGTGTTGTGACGTTTTACAATCGGACAGTCAGAGACGTGTTGTGACGTTTACAATCGGACAGTCAGAGACGTGTTGTGACGTTTACAATCGGACAGTCAGAGACGTGTTGTGACGTTTACAATTGGACAGTCAGAGACGTGTTGTGACGTTTACAATCGGACAGTCAGAGCCGTGTTGTGACGTTTACAATCGGACAGTCGGAGCCGTGTTATCCATGGAGAAGGAGAGGTGAGATTGGCCGGTGGGTGTACAGAGGAAGTCCCTGCACTGCACACATCTCGCTCTCTCCGTGACACAATGGTGTGTTCATCTGATATTGCTCTTTGCATTGTTAATAAATAACGAGGGTGTCAGCCAATCAGATTGTACCTTTGCAGTGAAGCCAGGGGAGTTTCTGATTGGTCGCTCAGGTTACATGGTTCTGCTCACTGAATAATCCAGCATGTTGGAGTGTCGGCCAATCCTCTGCAGGGATCTCACAGAAGTCGGCTTTATTACACAATTGTCAGACATACAGTACGGGAGACGGTTATGTGGCTGCAATATACTGTCACCTCCTCACATTCCACCATCGCAGGCACCCACACGCTGCTCTCTCTCTGCACTCACGTGACTGCAGCTTCTGCATAGGAGCTTACAATCTAGGAGTACAGGAATCACACTGACCCATGGAGCTTACAATCTAGGAGTACAGGAATCACACTGTCCCGTGGAGCTTACAATCTAGGGTACAGGAATCACACTGACCCATGGAGCTTACAATCTAGGGGTACAGGAATCACACTGACCCATGGAGCTTACAATCTAGGGGTACAGGAATCACACTGACCCATGGAGCTTACACTCTAGGGGTACAGGAATCACACTGACCCATGGAGCTTACACTCTAGGAGTACAGGAATCACACTGACCCATGGAGCTTACAATCTAGGGGTACAGGAATCACACTGACCCATGGAGCTTACACTCTAGGAGTACAGGAATCACACTGACCCATGGAGCTTACAATCTAGGAGTACAGGAATCGCACTGACCCATGGAGCTTACAATCTAGGAGTACAGGAATCGCACTGACCCATGGAGCTTACAATCTAGGGGTACAGGAATCGTAGCTTACATCTAGGGGTACAGGAATCGCTCTGACCCATGGAGCTTACAATCTAGGAGTACAGGAATCACACTGACCCATGGAGCTTACAATCTAGGGGTACAGGAATCACACTGACCCATGGAGCTTACATCTAGGAGTACAGGAATCGCACTGACCCATGGAGCTTACAATCTAGGGGTACAGGAATCGCTCTGTCCCATGGAGCTTACAATCTAGGGGTACAGGAATCACACTAACCCATGGAGCTTACAATCTAGGAGTACAGGAATCGCACTGACCCATGGAGCTTACACTCTAGGAGTACAGGAATCGCTCTGACCCATGGAGCTTACAATCTAGGGGTACAGGAATCACACTGCCCATGGAGCTTACACTCAGTGGAATCGCTCTACAATGGAGCTTACACTCTAGGGTACAGGAATCACACTGACCCGTGGAGCTTACACTCTAGGAGTACAGGAATCGCTCTGTCCCATGGAGCTTACACTCTAGGAGTACAGGAATCACACTGACCCATGGAGCTTACAATCTAGGGGTACAGGAATCGCACTGACCCATGGAGCTTACAATCTAGGGGTACAGGAATCACACTGACCCATGGAGCTTACAATCTAGGGGTACAGGAATCACACTGACCCGTGGAGCTTACAATCTAGGGGTACAGGAATCACACTGACCCATGGAGCTTACAATCTAGGGGTACAGGAATCACACTGACCCATGGAGCTTACAATCTAGGGGTACAGGAATCACACTGACCCATGGAGCTTACACTCCAATCAGACTGCTTTGTATAATTGTGGGTCCCATATAGGTGAAGTCATGTTCCGGAAGCAGAATGATGAGGGTTAGTAGATAATGAAGACCCCGCCCCTTCTACAACACGTGTGATGTGCAGCTGCTGCGCTGTGTGGATCAGGGTGCATGCTCCTCTTACAGGGACCGTGGTCATGTGACCGGAGGAATGGGACCGACCCAGGCCGGGGAGGATAGTTCCGAGCAGAATTTAGGAAGTAAGGATCAGGTGTGGTCCTGAGCCTGAGGGTGACACCACCTCCCCTGTCAGAGTGTATTGGTGTCACTCTTCCCTCTCCATACACTCAGCTCTCCTTGTTTAGTATGAGCAGGAAAGGGTTAGAGCCCCAACACTCAAGGATGCTGCAGACTGGATTCTGTGCCGACTATTCCTTCCCCCAGAACATCCCGGATTATCCATCTTCCTGACAGCACCTGATGTCACATATGGTAGAGTCTCTGACCCTCTCCCGTACCGCGTCCTCTGGTCATCTCCCGTACCGCGTCCTCTGGTCATCTCCCGTACCGCGTCCTCTGGTCATCTCCCGTACCGCGTCCTCTGGTCATCTCCCGTACCGCGTCCTCTGGTCATCTCCCGTACCGCGTCCTCTGGTCATCTCCCGTACCGCGTCCTCTGGTCATCTCCCGTACCGCGTCCGTCTGACTCTCCCGTACCGCGTCCCTCTGGTCATCATCTCCCGTACCGCGTCCTCTGGTCTCTGTACCGCGTCCCTGGTCTCCCGTACCGCGTCCGCGGTCTCTGACCGCGTACCGCGTCCGCGGTCTCTGGTCCTCTCCCGTACCGCGTCCTCTGGTCATCTCCCGTACCGCGTCCTCGGTCCCTCTCCCGTACCGCGTCCGCGGTCTCTGACCCTCCCGTACCGCGTCCGCGTCCTCTGGTCATCTCCCGTACCGCGTCCGCTGGTCCTCGGTCATCTCCCGTACCGCGTCCTCTGGTCATCTCCCGTACCGCGTCCTCTGGTCATCTCCCGTACCG